CCCGTTTTTCCAGCGCGAGCTTCTCTCGTTCTTTCTTGGATAGAAATTTCGGCTGTGTAGAGAGAGGTGGGATGTTAGCTATCTGAGCTTATATGGAATCCTCGGAGCTGATTCGTACCTTCGCCGCTGCAGCATCAGCTTCTCGCTTCTTCCGTACGAGTTCCTCCACACTCAGCGGCGTAGGGGCTGGTCGTTTCGTGCCCCATCCAACCTTCTTCTTCTTGGGCTCAGTCTCCGGCGGCGGCGCAGGTGGAAGATCTTCCGGCGGTGGAGGAGGCGCGGACGTGTCTGGCGGCGGCGGAGGGAGGGCGGAATCCTCTGGAGGGGGTGGCGGGGGAGTAGGAGGGCGCTCGATGGGCTCCGGAGGAGGCATAGGAGGGCGCGCCTCCGACGAACTGTTAGTCATAATATCATCCATGGCCACTGCAGAGGATGAAGCCTGAGATGGATTGCAGCTCGGCGCAGAACTACTTGGTTTGTCTCCCGCGGCCTGGCCATGTTCTACGGTGGGGAACAGCGGCCATGTGCGCAATATGTGATCACGTGAATGTAGATAAGGCTCTATATTGTACGAATACTGCAACACTCTATTTATTGAGGTAACTGAAATCACATGTATGGAACGAAAGCTACCTACGCATTAGAATACACGAGGACAATGTCCAAACTCATAAGGTCCACCCAACCGGATCCCATCATATCGGGAAGAGCAGTCGAGAAGCGGCTCTCTGCACGCTGCAGATGCCGTCTCGCCTTTCACTCAACACGCCATTCGCTGAAAGCTGCACACACATCAGAAGAGAAATTATTGTTCTACATATCAGCAAGCCTTTCACAAGCTATGAGCGGAAAGAGTACCATCCTCTTGGCGAGGAGTTAGATTGTGGTTGGGCGTTTCCGCACCAACCGGATTCAGCAGCTTTCTTTACTTGCCATCAGACTCACATGCCACCGTTGACCGGTGTCTGCTGATAGTAGGCATAAGGGTTAGCTTGTGGGGGTGTCGGGACCACAACTTCCGCCACAGGCGTCGCCGAAGGAACCGGCTGAGCTGGGGGCAGCTGCACCGCTTCCGCGGCCTTCATCTTTGACACGGATGCCGGTCCGTGCACTTCGCGGTCCAGGGTCATGTACTCCTTTGCAGCATCCTTGGTACCACGTTCAAGGAGGTAGACCATGTAAATTTGAACAAGCTCCCGCACCACATCGGCGGGAAGGGTACTCTTGGACCGAATGTCCTCGATGACCTGCTTGATGCGCTCATACTGGACATTCTCTGTAGACGAGCTCGTGGGCTGGTCGAGCTCGAAGTTCAGGTAGCTGGTCCAGAAGGGCCGGCTGTCCATGTAGTACTGCTGGTTGGTCTGGAAGACCTGACGGGCGTCTTCGGGAGAGCCCTTGATCTTCCACAACAGGCGAGCCCATTCTGCAACGAGTGCCGCCTTCGTAGCCAAGTCTGACTGTGGCGAATCCAACTGGCTCTTGTACACTTCGATGGCAGCCTCGAGTCCGCCGTGACGGCGAGACATGTTGGCCAGAGACACTATCGTTTCGACGTGGTTGGGCAGGTTGATGAGAATGGCGTCGTGGATCTCCTTGGCAACATCCACCCGGCCACTCATCTCTTCGAAGTAGGCATATTGAAGACGGGTGGCTGGGTTGGCGATCGGCACGTACAGGCAGCTGGCGCGCTGGTAGATATTGCGCACTTCTTCTTCCTTGCCAGGTTGACCGGCCATCCACCTAGCGTAACGCTGCCAGAACTCATCGTAGTGAGCGCACGTCACCAAGCATCTCTCGTACAAGAATTGGGTTCGCAAATAGGAGCCCTCGGATTCTTCGAAATCGAGGTATTTCTTCCAGTTGTTCAGCTGGCCCTCATCGAGTTCGGTAACGTGGAAGTACGGGCGCTTGATCTCCGACTCGTATGTCCAACGTTTCGTGGTCTCAGTCTGGGTCTTGGAGAAGATCTCCAAATGGTAGCTGTCTACGCGTAACCGCAGATCCCGTTCAACCTCTGCCTCTGCCTTCGCGCCGGGGGCCACATGCCCGGCAGCAGCATCAAGCTCCGCACGGAACTGGGTCAAAGTCTCCGGAGACGCCAACTCCACCACAGGGCGAGTCTGGGCCAACTGCCTGTACCTCTCGAAATACCGAGCGTACTGGTGCATGGGGATGTGAATCACCCGGCCCAGGATAGCAAAAATCTTATCAAAAGCCTCCAGGCGCTCCTCGAACTCGATGTACTTGTCCCAGAACGGGTGGGCCAGGAAATCCAGCCCAACGCTGGTTGCGCCACGCTCGAAGAGCCTGCAAACAGGAGAACGTCAGTATCAGAGCGGGTACACCACCATCAGAACAACGCTGGGGAGATGGGGGAGTGGAGGGGGAAAAAAGGGGAGTGACAAGGATAGCAAACATGAGCGTCAGATTCCCAATGAGTGCGAGCCCAAACAATTGAACGACTAGGATGGTCAAACTGTGGATGAAACTTATGTTCCCCCGTCTGCTTCGAGCGCAGAATAGGTGCCACCCGAACACAAGTCCTGGTGTTTAGTGTCCGTGCAGGGGAGGTGCTTGGCTTGAAATCAACTGTAAATGTTTCTTCAAAAGGGGTAGAGAGAGAGCAAACAGCCTGGAGAAGCCATGGGTGAGAAGTAAACTCCAGTAGAGTCCGGGTAAGGTGAAATCTCACCCGTCAGCGAGGGGACTGGTGCAAATGAACATTTGCATCACGCGGGTCCGGTATCACAACCATGTCCGTGCTGCGTTTGTAACGGTTACGTGGGGGATGGGAAAGGAAAGCAGCTCTACTATACTTACTCTCGGATCACATCAGCGTCATGGGAGGTCTCGGCCTTGAAGGAGCAGTAGTTGGTCCACAGGTCGACCGAGGGCGAGATGCTAGCGACACCGCGTTCATACACCTGTCAAAGAAGCATCAGCAATCCAATCAACTTCAGTCAAATCTGAACAGGCCAAGCCCATGCATACCATGTCCGCAGCCTCAGTGCCGGTGATGGAAAACTCCAAGTCGGCATATTTCTTCCAGTAACCGAACAACAGCGGGAACTTGGCCAAGAAGCGGTCGTAAACATTGCGCACGGTGGTGATGGCTTGGGGGTTGGAGTTGCGGTTAATTCCGCCCTCGAGCGCTTCGCCAGCGCGAACCAGTTTCTCCCAGGTTTCGAAGTTATCCGGGTCATCGAGCTGTACGACAACGTATGGGTTAGCATATGTGATGCAGCATTCCCCGCCGATCGAGGAGATGATAAATAGGATCGCATCATACCAACTCAGTCTCGAGCTTCTTCAACTCCGCATTCTCCTCCTCGGAGCCTCCATAGTTGTAGTCCGCCATGATGGCAGTTGGTGTGGTCGGGGTCAAAAGAGTAGTGACAAGGATGGTCCGCGACAAGGGGGAGCAAGGACGGGACGCTGTTGGAGAAGGGAAAGGATCGGGAGCAATCCAGCGACCAAGATAAGAGGAAGAGCGGAGATATAAAGCGACCAGGAAGAGAGGGAGGAAGAAAGCGCGCGAGAAGAAGGGGGAGAGAAAGCGAGGAAGACGGAAGAGAGAGAGAGCGAAGAGATGAAGACAAGCACCAGCCACAAGTCCTACTAGTTTAGCAGCAACAGTAGCAGCAGTAACCAGTTAGTTAACCCAGTTTACAGTAAGTTAACTCATTCTCTTTGCTCTTTTCTTTTTCGCCGAGTTCCCGAGCCTCATCCCAAAGAGGTTTAGCGCAGTTCCTGCAATTCTCAACGCGGACATCCAAAGAATCACCACCAGCTCGAATTATCCGGAGAGAAAGAAGCCCCATCCATCCCATCTTCCCTTCCTCCCCAATTCACAGGAGAGGCACCGGGCACAATAGCCAAAATGGCCACCACACAAACCAGCAGCTTGGTATCCAAGCTCCCCATCCGCCTCCGCAACTTCTTCGCGCGCTATCCTCCGCAAATCTATTCCGCAGCCGTAGCACCACGCCCCGAAGCCCCCGAAACAGGTGCCCCCGTCAACGTCAAAGTCGAGGATTTACCCTCTCCTTACACACCCAACCGTGATGCGAAGGGCTTCAAGCGTCCTGATCCTAAAGCGTTCTCTCCCTCCAAGGCCATCCTGCACTCCGACTCCAAGCACCCCAACCCGTTCCTGCCGCGCAAGAACTTCCGCACCGGCAAGTGGTTCGGACCCCGGATTGGACTGCGTCGACAGGCGGAGCTGGTGAAGCTGGCGATCAAATACAACGTTGAGGCATTGTTGCCGCCTGGCCGCAAGTCGACGGAGTTTAAGGAGACGAGACGTGCGGAGCGTGGTTTGGCTATCAAGGGTACTGGTATCGGACAGAAGGTCAAGGGTCACAAGTGGGAGAGGACAATGGAGGCTCGTCTGGAGGACAGACGCAAGGCTATGATGGAGATGCCGGAGATGATCCGTTTGTGGAAGCAGGTTAGTTTTCCCTCTCTATTCCTTTCCTTTGTTCGGTATGCAGGATGGTGCACTGACTTGATATCACTTAACTCTACAGAGAGGTCACGGTCGTGGCTGGAAGTCGTGGCCCAAGCGGTAAAGGCTTACGCTTCTGGATGTATTATCTTCTTTTATTCGCCTCGGGTGGAATGGATCCGAGGTTTGCATAATGTCGCATCTGTCCTATTTTATACATCTCGTCGAGCCGGGGCCAACCAACCGTCCATCCAGCTCGGGGAGAGTTTCGATTGAATCATTGTTGTCGGGGTTCGGCACGGGAGTTTGTTCTCTTATGTATTTATTGTACAAATAGCTTGTTTCTCAAAATCATGCACATTGAATGTCTGCGTGAATGGAAATGGTATCAATAGAATGTTGAATGCAACCCATCTTCTCAAAGGGGGTTTCCGCCTTGTTTCAAGATACAATGTCGCCCAAGCTATGACTAGCGATACTCCAATCTAATACACATTCCAATGCAATGCAATGCTTATCCACAACCTAAAAGCAGATCATGATTCGTCATTCATGGCCCATAGTAAGACGGAGTGACAACATCCCCCACCATTACTGTCCTTGAATTAACGCTATTCCCATCGCCATTAGAAGAAATCGCCAAATGTCGCCCAAAGTAAATCTTGTTCCCACTCTTCCTCGTTTTTGCTAACGTCGAATATGGTTCCTCGCCACGCACGCCAGTAAGCTGATCGACGCAGACCATCTGGCACCGCTGACAAGATCCAAGCACGTTGAAATGAAGATTGTCGGGCCCGATGCGCAGACTCTCCCAATGGTCTTCTATATACGGTCGCCCTGCGCTCACCGGCTGTGGGAAATCCTCTGCAACGACGATGTTCGCACGGAATACATCGGCAGCTACGGCTTTCTTGCGTCCAGTACTATTTGTGGTTGTAGGACTGCTTTTGATGGTTTCGTTAAGACGGTTCACGGATGAGCGGGAGATGAGCAAAATTGGACTCTCGTTGGATAGTAAGATGGGATTTCGTTCTGCCTCAGGGGTCGGGGTATCTTGAGGGAATGCGCCTGGCATAGCTGGTCGAAGTGGTGATTTTCTGCTGCCGAGGCCACGTCTGGGTTCGGCAAGTCTGGTGGAGGATTGAGGCGGAAATCTCGCAAGTGTACAGGGCACACCAAGAAAGTCGGAGAAGAATGCGGACACCGTGGGAGATGAATATGCTTGCACAATAACCTGGTCTCCGCAAACAGTAGAAGGTTTCGAGCTATTCTGGCATAATGAGGTGGTTGTAAGGTTGCTATTCTCGCGGTCCAGAGGGATTTCAAGCGTTTTCTGACTTGGAGAATGTATAGACCCGCAGGTAACGCGCAAGACACCATGACTGAGATCGATAAATGGCCGTATCAGAGCCATACGAGGATACCTCTTTTGATTGAGAGCTGTACCTGTGCCTTGGTGGATCAAGCACCATTCGCGATCCCATGCCAGACCTTCTCGTCGAATTTCCCAGCGCTTTCCGTCAGGTACTTTAAATGCACCACAACTCTTTATGGGATACACGGACAGGCTCTCAACATGGAAACCAGACCGGTGAGTAAGGTTGGCTTCCAGTGGTGGCACCAACGCACACACATTTGGGCTTTTCTCGACGTAGAACTCCTCGATAAAACCCATAAAAGTGTCTATATCAGTCAAGTTGCTCATCGCGCCAAGGCTTGCTCTCAGTATCCCAGTAGGTCGCCCGTCCATGATATCATGGTCATCACCACAACGCATGCCTGCTCCAAAATGCCGAAGCATGTCTGCTCCAGACCAGTTAAGGCTGGCCGCCGTGCCTCCCGGGTTGCAGAGCGTTCCAGATCTGATTTGTATGTTCCTAACGCTGGCCATTTTCTCCACTTCGGATTTGCCAATCCAGGCACCTTGACTGCTTCGCAGGTTGAACGCCAAAATTGGTCCTTGCGTGGAAGTATCGGTATAGTCAGAGTGTGATGGTCTGTATACATGGCACACACTCTCCCCATTGTAATGTCTCAATGTAGTCATGCGATCGTATAGTCGCTTCGCTAGGAAGCGGGTGTGTGAAGAAATATTATCCATAGATCCAAAAAGGCGCTCATGTGTATCAAATGCAGAGCCCAATGCGATGATATTATGAAACGGAAGCGTTCCGTCTTCGAGTCGTTCATGAATTGAAGATTGCTTCTTCGCATGCCATTGGGTTCCCTGTGTTAGAACCATATCTACCGTTCCTCCACCGAAAAACTTCCGCTTGTCGAAGATGTGGCCAGCACTCTTGCGAACAATCAACGCACCAAGGTCCGGGAACCCGAAGATTTTGTAGAAGCTGAGAACGGCAAAGTCAGGCGCAGCGGAAGCATCACTGAGGTCGAAAGGGGATGTCGACACAAGCGATGCGACATCAAGAAGCGTGTAAGTGTCCTTGGCTGACTCCCGTATCCTGCCGCACCATCCACGAGGAAACCGCTGGCCGTTCATATTCGATTGCGCAGGGTACGCAAAAAGTCGGGGACCTTGCACCGGTTCTGTATCTAATTGAGAGATCCAGCTCTCGACTTCTGCGTCCGTCACGAAGCACCTGCTCCCGATACCTGCAAGCTCACGCGCCCCGACCAAGCTCGTATGTGAATCCACATGGTATCCATACCAGAATCCCTGCGGTGTTGACTCGCGGAAAGAATCGGCAACCAGCTTGATTGCGGCCGTAGCATTCGCCACGAAGACAAGATCGAATTCTTCCGGATCAGCACTGAAGAAACGAAGGGCCCGTAGACGAATATCATCCACGCGCTGGGTCGATAGCTGTGAGGGTGCGGACATGGAATGGGGGTTCCCGTAGAGGTTCGACGTGAGGTCTCGGGAGAACGATTCAATCAGGGATTTGGCGTAGAGTGTAGTACCTGCATGGTCAAGATATGTCGTGTCTGGTTTCGTAGTTAGATAACTGAGCGTACGTTCATCTATTGTTGGAATTGCATAGAAGCCATCCAAGCACGCGGCCTACCTTTGAGCAAGGGATATTCACGTTCCCGGATGACGTCCACATCATCCGGGTATTGGCATTTGCCCCTGTCTGTCATCCTGGTGGACCGTTCCAGACGACATTAATTGCAAGTTAATGATGAATTATGGTTGCAGGGTGGTGAAGGTCGAGTTTTGCATTGCTGGCAAGGGTCAAAAGTGAGGTGGCGACCGCTGATTCACTGCATATGGGATGCTCCCTGAACCACAGATGGATATGTAAACTCCCACTAAACACACGAGTCCAATAAGGTTCTTGACCTAAGTAGTATTAGAATTGTCAATCACTGTGCAAGTAGACTAAATTAATATAACGTATGGTGATTGAAGTAGGAACAGAAATAAAGAATAGAAATACTTAGTCTCGTTGCCGATAAGGCTAATCGGTCGGAGCTTACCGATGACGAACTTGCCGACGGCTAGCCGCGGACTACTACTACCTTCAACACCCGAAATTTGAGTCTCTGTTGGCAACGCGAGAGTAGAATAAAATTCAATGGAAGACTAGCATTCGAGCCTAGGAGAAGTGGCTGATACATAAATCTTCTGGAGAGAGAAGCTACCTGCAAACCAGCCTGAGCGTGTTCAGCCCGACCAGCACGCCGAAGCTTCCCCACTTTTGCGCTGCTTATCGAGAGCGGGGAGCGGCCGGGTCCGAAGATCAGTGGGATTTACTTTCTGCAGTAATGACGCTGCTCAAAAGTGGTGGTGAGGAGGTGTTCATTACTGTTTTGTATGTCAAGGGTATAGATTTGTTTTTATACTAGGCTATCTTCTCATATTAAGATAGCTTACAATACTACAACTTTCCATTAACGGCCAGAACATCAAGTAGGGGTCTACATAACGAGCAAGTAAGTTACTTCCATAAGCATAGCTCGCATATCTTATAGGGATTACCACAGTGAGAAAAACAGCTAGAACAAGAACACTGTCGGGTAGCGCCAGATGTTGTAGAAAATAGACAAATAGCTTTGCCAACAGCGGCTAAATGAAAACATTATCATCATATATGAAACAATAGCAATCGCAGGTCATCAACGTTGATAGCTGATATTCATGCCATCGGTATGCCTTCCTTCGTTACTTCGTTTGAATCAATTTCTTTTTCTGTCGTTCGTTGCACGTTATCCATTCCAATCATTAAACCGTATCATCCCATCATATCCATTACCTCGTAACCAAATGGCCTCTATACCACATACTGCTGCCGCCGACCCGAGCTGCTGTGGCGCCGGTGACCGCGTCGACTGCTGTGACTCCTGCGACGGACAGTGGTCTCCTTGACAACGACCTCCGGACGCTTGTAAATGGCGAGAGCCAGGATAGCTGTCCAGAAGAAGAAGACGACTTCAATTATCCCCAGTGCAAAGCTGGCCTTCAGCATCGCGCAAGTCTTGTCGATGTGGAAGGACAGCGGGTTATCGGTCCTGTAGCCGTAGTATCCAAAGGGACCCAGCGAAATATACACCGAACCTCCATCCCAATGAGAGCAATTGGCCCCTGCAATGAAACGCAGCTCATAGACACCCGCGATGAAAGCACCGAAGAAGAGGAGGTCGATGAAAGCGACAAACATGGCGGAGCGTTTAGTGGTCGAAAAGCGGATCAAGGTATCGAGGCACCAGAAAGCTGCAATGACGCTGACGATGAAGAGGACGAGAATGTAGGCAGGGGTAATCTGGTTTGCATTGAGGTAGCCATGGACGAAGTATGCCTAGATCGATGCTGTTAGACATGGCCATCTGAGATTGGGTTAGGGTTGGAATGCACTTACCATCATTCCGATGATCGGAATCACGAAGACAAGCTCCAGAATGCGGTTGCAGATGAAGAATATACTGCCAATCATGTTGTCGGTGGGCGCAGATTGCGGATTGACCTTCTCAAGAGTGTAATTGAAATACTAGGATCAGATGCTCAGAGGCGTAAAGAGGAGGAGTCTGGGCTAGACGTGGCGGCAGCTACAACGTCATCAAATGCGGCTCGTAGACCGACCGAGACGATATTTTCACGACGCAATCTGGCTATGTTCGGCGTCTTGAGTGAAGCGCCGTGTCGAGAGAGATTCCGTGGTTGCGCCGGACAACGTATAGAGGAGTATTGGTTAGGTGTCGATCAGATGCAGCCCAACTCAAAAGGCACGAGAGCCCAGCCGGTTACGTGCTAGAGAAAGCAAGGTACAGATGATGCATCCAGCCCAAGGCAGTACAGAGAGGAGATGCAGAAAAGAAAAAAAGAGGAACCGGACGGGGATGAATATGCGAGTCGGAGAAAGACAGAGGAGGCTGGGCGATTCAGGCTGCGGGGTGGCTGGGATCTCAGCGTGAAAACAAGGTTCTATTGCTCGACCTTGAAACAGCGAGATTCAATGGACGTTTCAACAATTTATTTAGAAGTCAGATTGAATTACCAGATTTGACAACTATTCTACTCCAATCAGCAGAAAGGGTATAGTATTCTTTCAATTGAGCATACAGTCCTTGGTGATAATTGTTCGGTGTTTACCGCCATCCTTGCCTTTGGGAGTGCCGTTGCCATAGCTGGCCCGTGGGTGGGGCTGCCCGGCCCACGAGGTGCTCGAGCCACGGTTGAGCGCCGGTCTAGCCCTCAGGAACGCTTTCTGCCTCTTGTGTGGCAGGGTCCTGGATTGACCAAGGAAGTACTTAGGACTATTTTTAACTGATGCAAGGGGAAGGAGAAGAAAAGCTGTTGCGGACTCTCCTTTTCCACATCCCAATAATGTGGCCGAATTCTGCCCTCTCGGTATGATACCAGATCCACTATCCAAGCCTCTTAATGTGACAAGGTAAGTCTATGAAATGACAAGAAATACACCCTTGACCAATCAACCAAAACTCGGGTTTCAGACTTCCCGGTACGGCATATCTGTAAGATCACGCCCTCGGTCCGCATGAGTCGGAATCGCGCCCGGTGTTTCGTGGGTAGTGGCGGCACCAAGTACGACCTGAGGGGTCTGGGAGTGGTACGCCGTATCAACATCGAGTCGCGCCGTTGGTCCGTTCAACGCTGGGTTCTGTGTCCGGGCATAGCCAGGTTGCATCTCATATCCACCAGCAACATCCTCGCTGGAGGACGACCAGTTGTCGTCCTCGTCACGTCTTGAGTAGCCGTACATGTTTGTAGTGTATGGATTAGATTCCGGTAGGTACAAGGGCCTACCAGCATCACTTCCGGTCGTCTTCGACTGAGGAGCTTCATTCAATCGCTCCTCCTCCGGGTTCCTCAGAGCGGCAGTGCTTCCATCAGTACCCACCAGGCGGACAGTCTCGACAGGCCCCACGGGATCCCTGCCCCATGTCCGGATGGGATAGGCGCGTCCTTTCTTCCAAGGCTCGTTGAGTGAAGGGAAATATTGACGGTACGAGATGCAGGCGCAAATAATACCTAGGAGCGATCCAGTGATGACATCGAACGGATGATGCCTTGCATCCATAATACGGCTCACCGCAACAAGCGTTGCTGCAAGAGACGGGATCATGACCAAGAGTGTCTTCCAGGCCTCGCCGCGGTTGTCCATTATGTGCAGCTTGCCACTAAGCCAAAGCGTGAGATAGAATAATCCGGCAAATGAAGCTGTAATAATTATATTAGTTCTCAATGCGCGTTTGCGAAACGGTAGGTGGGTCTCTCACAGCTACTATGTCCTATCACCACAGATTAGCATTTGAAACCTGTTCAGAACTTTTGAAGCGCTGTCCTACCTGAAGGCCATGATCGGAAGCCGTCTTTGATAAGTGCATGTTCGCCAGTACAGATAGTGGAGTTCGACAGTCCGGGTATCGCGTCCTGACTTCCTGCGCGAGGCTGACACCGATCAATGAAGTCAGGCCGGGGCTTTCCACAAGCATTTTTCAGCACCTGCGTAATGACAAACGCCAGCCCTTGTGAGAGCAAGAGTCCCAAGATACCACAGTTGAGCTCCCACAACCGATCCTTCCATCTATATGGACCAGTGAACTTTCTCTTTCCCGAGACTGGATGCTGCGTCTTGTGGTGCGAGAAAAGCCCGTCGATGAATAGCGTATAGACGATAATAATGACGAGGGGTGCCAGGCCGGAGATACAGAGGGCTTCCTGAATGGTTATACGCTCGTGGACTGCATAAGGATACTGAATCGAGATATTTCGTAACGAAAAGTGCTGGTGATATGGTTCAATAGAATCAAGGACGTAGAAGCCTCCAATGCACGCACTGTTTCAGCGGTTATTAGCAAACGCCGTCGATGATCCGCCAACAGGAAGAACTAACATAAGGATAACATAGTCAAAGATATATCTGCCATGGACGACTCATATTAGCGATGAGGTAGCATTCCTCTCCTTGGAGTTCAATTCTCACGATAGAATGACCCGCTGCTTCAGGCGCCGCTTTGAGAAAGGCAACTTATCGGGTAGACGGTCCATCGGGTCAGGATCCACTTTGTTTAAGACACAATGCAATAAGTGAGGGGCAGAATTCTCCTTCTTCACAGCTCGGATATATAAAGACCTGGCCGGTGTTCCAAAGCATCTATTTTCCTTGAAAAAGAGCAGCCTAATGCGACCGGTGTGCGCGCGAAAATAAGAGCACGTGAGAGTGTCTGTCGACAGCTGAAGTGTCCACTGAGATCTGCCCAGCGGCGAAAGGACAGCAATAAAAGAAGTCGGAGAAGGCTGAGTCCCTGATTTGTGACCTACCAATGAGAATGAAACGGAGACAAAGCATGGGGCTGTGGGCGACTAAATATGGGGGAGGTCTGAATACTCGTTGCCTGCAGCTCTTTCGCCGACCCACTCGCCCAGAGTACATCGGCTCGACCACGGCTCGGTCAACCGCTGGCTGCCTCGTTTCAATGGAAGAGCCCGGTATGGGCCATTAAACCTTGTTGCCCGTAGAGCATAGCCCGAATGGAAAGTCTGGCTGGCCATAGCCATTAGAATAGCAATATATCATTGACCATCGAGTAGCTGGGCCGGGAATGCAGTTAGGCACGGAGTGTCATTGACAGATGATGGGCCGTGTTAGTGAACAGACCCTGCTTGATCGACAATCGGGCGGTTAGCTTTGGCTCGGTATGGCCGCTGTTATGATACAATAATATTGGGGGTGGATCCCATAGACGGCCTGTAACGCTCTTTCGGTCATTTTCACATTGTATGCTTATGTAAGCTACTCGCTATTGAATCGAATTGGATGGCAGTTCCAACTTTTAGTCTTTGTGGGCTAAAAGTAACACTTCAGAACGGGACTCTGGGAGATCTCCACTGAGATGCCATTTACATTAGCCCTGTTAAACTAGTACTCAATTGGAGTTAGTCCTACAGTGGTCACTGATACTATTTGACTTAACTGCGGCCTGTCATGACTGCTGAATATAGATCTACATGACACCATCATCTTTACACCATCATCTTCATCTAGTCAACCGTCAACTACAGAATATAGGTTATCACTATGATCTAGCAGTACGGTACTATAAGTATGTTCTATTTTGATCTTTATTTTCAATAATGAATGTTGAGTGGTGGCTTTCGTTCAATTCCCGAAGACTGTTACAATACACTGCAAATGACCAATTCCTCCATCATTGTGGCATTTACCACCCAAACTCCACAAAATACCCCTCATCCTCCACGACCTTCCCAAACATTTCGTCCGGGGAACCCTCTGTTGCCGCGCGTACAATAGGCCGTGCCCCTTCCTCAGCAGACTTGACACCGCGGCCTCCTCCAAAGTCCGTCCGGCAGTGGCCCGGGCAGACCACGACTGACATGATGTTCTCCTTTTGCAGGCGTACCGCATCCACCGCATTCATCATGTTGAGGGCGGATTTACTGCTTCGGTAGACTGGCAGCTCCCAGACCCTGGCACTATACTCCGAGGTAGGCGAGTAGGCTATCCCAATCTGTCCGAGGCCGCTAGTAACGTTGACAATGCGTCGATCAGAATATTGGGAAGCACGGAGGAGGGGAAGAAAAGCCTCGATTACGACGGCCACCCCGAAGACGTTGGTCTCAAACACGGCGCGGTAGGTCTCGCGCAGCGTGGCGTTGGGGTCAGAGGATCGGTTGATTCCGCCATTATTGACAAGGATATCGAGCGAACCGAACCGTTCCCGAACAAAGGTGGCAGCAGCCTTGATGGATTCGTCACTGTTAAGGTCTAGTGACACTGGCGTCAGGTCGTCGGAGGAACTGCTTAGTTCCTTAATGGCTTCCTCGGCTTTCTCTTGCGTCCGGGCACCAATGAGGAGACGGTATTTACTGGTTCTGGTAAGCTGTTTGGCCGTGGCATACCCTAAGCCCCGGTTGGCACCGGTGATTAGGATTAATGGTTTCATGACAGTCATGATGAACGTTATACGTTGGAGGGCGTACAACCAAGTCCCTGGATACTTTGGTAAGATGATCTGGAGAAGTAAAAGAGAAGGGGCAAGGTATCAATTAACTGCCATTATATATATCTGAAGGCCTGGATTTAATCGGAGTTAAAATGCACTCACTACCTGGACTTAACCGGACTTTATCATGACCGGCTTTAAGGATATTTCTTCGCAGGTCACTATCATAGTACATTTTACCGGGGCGATATCAAGGATGACACTTCATCCGGAGTTTCTAGACCCTATTACCAAGCGTTAGCAATTCTAGCGTTTGTTCACTCACCTTCCCTCACCTTCATACAGTCAACACCACAGCAATGCACAGCCATCAAAGCACACTGCTGCTGACCCTTAACCCATGGACTGCCTTTCGTTGTTCGCGGAGCACACACTCGTATCTGGTGCTGTCTACACAGCGTCACAATGTGATTAGTAAGCCTGCAAGCGCAGTCGCTTATTCTCATATATCCATCGCTTTTTGAATGTCGTTCGCGGCTGATAGATGGGAGCATCGACAGCATCCCTCTTTTGTCAAAGATAAGACATACTTTCTGTCTGAATCTATTCCAAATCTGGGCAGGTGGGTAGAATAGAGCAAATTTTCTTCCAAAATGTTCTTAGGCTCCCGGCTTCCTCAAAGCGACTCCAATCATGCTGAAGGATAGAACGCCGCACTGTGATGATTCCCATTATGGCAAATATATAGGTTCACAAACGTACTGTCATTATATAGCCCATTTATTGCTGGACAAGGGACAGATATTCTCTGTAGTCTCCCCCAATATCATTCTTAGATGTTTAATGACAGGTATGATCTTATCAGGAGCAAATTGGCGCGCTAATGATTGGGGATGCCATAACCTCTTGCAAATACTATCAACATCAGTTCTGAAACTTTCATGCATACGAAATGGCGGGTGCTGTTTTTTTGTCTCGCTACAACTGCAAGAGATGTTGATATGAGCGTATAAAAGTGTAATTATCACCCGTGGTTAACAACCATGGAATAGAGCTTCTTGTTGTATTGTACAAATTATGATGATCTAGGTTCATGGTAGCCCACAGCTCCCATGTATTCATACCGAATCATTTTCCGCGCCGACCTACCCTGTAGCGTACTTAATGCGAGAATCCCAGAGGGTCTGTGTGTACTTCGCCCTATCGTTGGGCGACAACTCATGCATGAAGCACTAGGAACAACTCGGAAACGCGGAAAATTGCTAGGCTCTCAGCCTTTAGGCTGAGAGCTGAGGAAAAGCAAATGTTCTTTGTTGGCTTTAAAATCGTTTGCTGATCCCCGACCGGAGCTGTACAAGCGAGTAAACACGCATCGATCCCCGCCCACCATGGGTTGTCCTAAGCTACGAAATCCCTTTCGCAAGAGACACTCCAAGATACAGACTCGGGAAGAAACCATAGGTTCCTCGAGTAATCCATTAGAAATATCGTCCAATGCTCTTTCTGGTATCTGTTCGACCCTAGAGCCAGTAGCTCAACCAAAATCTCAAACAGATGCCTTGCCAGCAGAGGATAATCAGGTTCCATTAAGCTCCGAAACCGCTCTGCCACGAAGAAACGGGAAGGTTAGAAGAAGGAACCTCTGGCAAGAGGCATACGACGCGTTGGATGAGAAGCAACGCCAGTATATAAATCCAGTGAAAGAACATGAACAGAGCAGCGACAATCACGAGAATGCCGATACAAACCCTGTATGCAAAACATTAGATGAAGTTGTTCAAACCGTCAAAGCCCAGTACGAGATTAGAATATCGAGAAGAGGAGACTCACAACTTCGGGATGCTGCAAACAAGATTCTGACTGCCACACTGAGCTGCAAGGAGATCATCAGTGCCATCGTGGCATTCGACCCCACTGGCCATGCGTCGAGTGCCTGGACTGTCGTTTCTCTGGGATTAACGGTGTGTCTGACATCAATTTATATAGACAGTCCATTTGACTAACATAGCTTTACCAGATGACACAGAATTATCGTGATCAACAAATGGCCTGGTTTCAGTCGTCTGCCATCCTGACTGACATCCTAGCTCGGTATGCCGTTATAGAGAAGCTTTACCGCGACGAGAGCTCTGAACTGAACGACAAGATTGAGGATGCCATCTTGAGGGTCTATATCGCTGTTCTAAAGTATGCAGCGGAGGGAATGAAGATTTATCGCTCAAATACAGGAAAGAGATTGATGCACAGTGTGGTGACCCTTGCGAACCTGCCCCTGACGGATGTTCAGTCCTCGATTGACATAGAGGAAACGCACCTGGAAAAGTGGTTGCGGATGTATCAGCAAATGCAGCGGAAACAAGAGGCAAACAATATACTTCTTGGAGTTGATCGGCTTCTCGACGATATCCGAGATGTTGCTCAGAAAATCGAACTCGACAAGCTGCCGATAGCTGAAGGTGCCCACTTCAATTCGCACATGGATGAGGATCAGGTTGAATGCCTGGAGAATACAAGAGTTGAGCTTCTTGATGAAATCACGGACTGGGTAGATGATACTCAGGGAAAGACCATATTTTGGTTGAGGGGTGTAGCTGGAACTGGTAAATCAACAATCTCCCGGACAGTGGCGCGAAAGCTGCAGGAGAGAGAGCTGTTAGGAGCAAGCTTCTTTTTCAAAAGAGGTGAGGGTGATCGTGGGAACGCTTCACGGTTCATCACCACTATCGCTAAGCAATTCATGATTGCTCTCCCCCAGTTGAGGAAAGAGATTGCGACAGCCATGAAGGACGACTTGATAGTTTCCAAGTCACTGAAAGAACAGTTCGACCATCTGTTGTTGAAGCCGCTTCTGGATATGGAAATGAGCAATGGGCAGCGCCTACCGGTTGTCATTGTAGTCGATGCCCTGGATGAGTGTGAGGAGCGAAGTATTGAGACGATCATTCAACTTCTCCCCCGGGTGCAGGAATCGAAAACCATATACTTGAAAGTCTTCGTTACCAGCCGGCCCGAGCACCCGATCCTCGAGGGCTCTGAACAAATAGAAGGCGAACACAAAGATGTCGCTCTACATGAGATCGAGCGCTGCACGATTGAGCGCGATATGGCTCTGTTCTTTGAGGACAGACTATCGAGAATTAGAAAGAAGCGAAAGCTTGAAGATACATGGCCTGGGGAAATCAAAACCCAGGCTCTAGTCGACATGGCAATGCCGCTTTTCATCTTCGCTGCAACCGTATGCCGCTTATTAGAGGATTACCGATGGGATCCAGACGACAGCTTGAACAACATATTGAAACGTCAATACAACAACTCCCAGCTGGATAAAACTTACTTGCCTGTTCTAGAGAAGCTCATTGGCGGACAGGATCAACAAGCTCAGAATGAACTGGTCAAGCAATTCCAACAGGTAGTTGGAATTATTGTCGTTCTCGAAAGTCCACTTTCTATTGCTTCGCTTTCAAAGCTGATCAACGTGAAAGAGAATCTGATTCGCATTAGACTAGACTCATTTCATTCAGTCCTAAATATTCCGAGCGACAACGATAAACCAGTCCGAATGTTCCATCTTTCCTTCCGAGAATTCCTTCTTCATCCGGCCACAAGAGAAAATACAATACTTTCAGTGGACGGCCAGTCAACACATCGCGATTTGGCCTATAAGTGTATTGCAGTCATGATGGATCCCCAACATGGACTTCGACAGAACATCTGCGGCCTGCCCGGTTATGGAACATCAAGAGACGACATTGGCGCCGAACGAATTGAAAGGTGTTTTCCAGCAGAACTGCGCTACGCTACTCGATATTGGGTCCATCATCTTACCCAGGGGGCTTTGAATATTTCTGATCAGGATGGAGTGCATGAATTTCTCGAGACTCACTTCCTTCACTGGCTGGAAGCAATGAGTATCTTAGCACATCTGTCAGAAACAATAGGTAGTGTCAATATGCTACTCTCGGTTGTACAGGTAACCGTCATCTTCCTTATTAGCGAGCCAAACTTACTGGATGTTCACAAGATACAGACATCACATGCATTTCGAATATCCAAGTTCCTTTACGATGCAAAACGATTTACTTTGAAGAATATTCCCATCGTCAAAAAATTTCCGCTGCAGCTGTATTCCTCCGCATTGCTGTTCGCGCCGGAAAAATGTACGATCAGAAACACATTTTTCCACTGTGTCCCACCATACTTCTCTCAATTACCCAGAGTGTCTGATTACTGGGGTGCTGAGTTACAAACGCTCGAGACTGGATTTGAGAAGATAAACTGCTTGGCGTTTTCTCCTGATGGACGGACGTTCCTCACATTTGGCGAAAGTTTGAAGCTGTGGGAAACCAGCACTGGTGAATTACGGAATACGTTAGTGTCTCATGTTCCCTTTGGTGTAAAATGCGCATTTTCACCAGATGGAAAGTTAGTGGCAGCCCTAACATTCGGCAAAATACTGCTGTGGGACTCGCTTTACGGTACTCTGAAACATACCTTAGAAGCCTTACCTGAGTGGGGAAATGCGATAGCATTTTTATCAAATGAGCACTTGGTCTTGGCATCCTCTGACAAAACATTGAGAATATGGAGCACAATATCCGGAAAGCTACAGCAAACTGCAAGTTTCGGGAATAATGAAGGGCCTATGTCTGAGCAGCTAGTAACGACCACCTTCTCGCCCGACGGTAGTTTACTGGTCTACACCCTGCAAGATGGCACAACAAAGCTCTGGGATACAGCAAAGACCGAAGTACGACATGTACTGAAAAGTCATGGTGAGAAAATTAAATCATTAGAATTCTCACCAGGTGGACATATACTAGCCACTGGGTCACGTCATGGCATACTGGAGCTTTGGGATCTATGTGAAGGAGCCCTGCAACATACTCTGCGCTGCCACGCCACTGAGTGTCGTATCGAATCTATAGCATTCTCTCATGATGGGAGATTGCTAGCTTTGGGTTGTGAAAAAGGGCTGAACATCTGGGACATAGGCCAGAGCCCAATCTTAACCACATTTGCTAGCCGCAATATGAGTATTGACCTAGTCACATTCTCGCCAGACGACAAGCTCGTGGTTTTAGTGGGAAGAAATAAGGTGATGCTTTGGGATACGGCTCGCCTTGAAGAAATGCATGCTCTAGAAGGGCATACGGATAGTGTGCGTATCGTGCGACCTTCGCCAACTGGATCCTTTCTGGCAAGCGGCTCCGGGGATACAACAGTGAGACTTTGGGACATTCCCACGGGTACAGTGCAACGCGTACTGCAGGGTCATTCGAATGCGATTACGGATGTCTCCATCTCACCAAACGGTCACCTGTTAGCTGCGTCCTCAGAGGACGGACTCATCAAAATATGGGATGTATCAAATGGAGACTTGCAATGCACCTTATCGTCGGACAATTCTGGGAGGGTGGCATGTATGTTGTTTTCGCCAGATGGAAACTTATTTCTGACCATTTGGGAACACAAAACATGCTTATGGGATGTGGTTACAGGACTGTGCAAGTGGATCGTCGAACAGGAGATATTTGGCATTTATACGATTGATGCTGCGCTTTCCCTGGACAGTCGGCTAATATCCTTCGTGAATCGGGGCAAAGTAATACTCCGAAACACAGCGAATGGTTCATTGCATGAACCCCTGACTATCCCTTTCAGTGATGTTATGGAAGTAGCTTTTTCACCATCTGGAAATCTCCTAGCCTCTAGCCATAGGAATGACGGCATCGTGAGGCTATGGAACACTTCGACAGGTAGGGAGGAACGAGTCTTTACGGACTGCTCAACAGCTGCATTACGATTTTCACCTGATGGCAAGCTGTTCTCGTCAGGATATGCTTGGACGGGAGTCAAAGCATGGAATGTTACCGACGGCACATTACGGCAGACCTTGGGAGCCAAGAAGACGAAGAGATATTCGTGGCTTCTCGACGCCAACAGCGACGAATACATGATCCATCATAGAGCTCAAGACTACTTCATCCCATCGGAGCATTATGATTGGATAGATCTCGGAGAAGATAGAATACTATGGCTTCCACCGGAGTATCGAGTACAATATGGAAAGGCCTTGACAAGAGTTGGGAACACGGTTATCGTGGGATGTGAAACAGGCGATGTGATTTTTATAGGTCTCCGTTCACCCTCGGAGGATTAGGGATGTTGGATAATTACTACTACATAATTCTACATTCGTGCCTGTGGTCTGCTTTTCTTTATTCTTTGCCATGTGAGAAATTCCTCGCCCCCTATATCTGTATACGAAATCATCGCTTCAATTGAACTCAAGCACTTATCACACTAGAAATATTATCCACATAGTACACCCTATGATACATGCCGTTCGTCTTTGCGAATGAAAGTTGATGTCGATTATGATTACCTCTCATTATTCTAGTCATATGCATAGCCTGCACCAATTGCTCTACACATTAAATATGGATATCTTTCAGATCTGAAGAATAATCAGGGTCACTGTACCAGTACGATAATGGACCCTCAAGGCACCCCCGCTTATATAAAGGAAATATTTGAGCATAATCTTGATTTTCTGGAACCGTCTAGATCTCAATAGGAAAATGATCTTAGAAAGAAACCATGGTGCCATGGATAAGAAGGATTTGAAAAAAAAATACCAAGCACAATATCTGGGTATAAGATGAATAGGTCAAGTAGTTGAAAAATAAGGGAACGACAAAAGCAAAAGAAGGTTCTGATTGACAAAGTGGTTGTTTAGCCAACTGCTCTTGTTTCCCAGCTGTAATATTTTTAGCATAGACGGCGGCTAACGATATGATAACTAACCCATCCACAAGGCTATGTCGTCCCTCGTCCAGGCGTCGATTGGCCACAACAGAGCAAGGATCACAATCCATCCTAAGAGGCGGCGCAGCATTGTGCAGCTACAGCGGGCTATGCCTTTCAAAACCCCGCACTCGAGAACAGGGGTCGAGACAATATATGTGCTTCCATATTCCACCTGGAAAAGTTGTAAGAACCCCACCAAATCACCAGAGAATGCTCCCACCATGACCACCACACTATGGGACCCAGACCGAATCCTCCAAATCACCAAGGGCCCTCACGAGCGAGGCATGTTCTGTCTTGGTCGCGCGCGCTCCAGATACGACAGTCGATGTCGCTGGGACATCCCCTACACAAAATACCAGATTGTCCGGGAAACATTGGACGAGATAGCTACGAAACTACCACATGAGATATACGACAACGAGCTTAAAGTATTAGCTAAGTGGGGATTATGCGATTATCATAGTGGCCAGGTGCATGAGGTTGTGTCAGGATGGCATTATGCCCTTGCTAGTCTTGCAAATTTATACTCGGCGTATAAAGAGCGGGCAGAGACGAGCCATGCAGTACATCAGGTACTTCAAGCCGAGGTCAAGAGATGTCGCGATTTGCTCCCACCAGACGAAGATAACCTGCAGAAGAATCTCTCGGTCTTATTAAAGAAGCATATGCGCAAGTACTCGGAGTTGGTAGAGGCGGGAAAGGCAAATTCAGCATTGGCGAATGAAATGCAAGAGGAGAGGAGGGGAGAGGAAGAGAAGATGCGGAAGATTAGTGATTTACAGGCTAAGCTTGAGACCAGTGAGAAAAAGTGTCAAGCTTTGCGCGAAGAGAATGCCGGTCTGGTGGTAGAGGTTAGAGCAAAGGGAGAAGAATGTGAACGTCTCCAAGAACAGCTGGGGGGCGCCACGGCCGAATTCTCCGATATGCAACGCGCCAATCAGAGATTTAGAGATGTCAATGAAGAGATGCGCAAAGAGGTTGATGACAAGCAGGGACAGCTGAACGAGATCACAGCCGATTTGTCTGATGTGCGATGCAATTATAGCAATCTCAGAGATGCCAATGAAGAGATGCGCAGAAAGATTGAGAGAAAGCAGGAACGGTTGAACGAAATCAGAGGCGATTTGTTCGATATGGGATTCGCCAAAGACAGCCTCGAAGATGCCAACGAAAAGATGCGCAGAGAGGTCGACAGCAAGCAGGAACAGATAGAAACCATCACTGCTCAACTTGCTAGCGTTTCGGCGGACTTGGACAGTACTAAGAACGAATTATCGGTCGCTTGTGAAACGAAAACACAAGTCCAGAACAATCTTCGAGAAGCAGTCGAGGAAATCAGCAATCTTCAAGCTCAGCTCACCGAGATCCATGAACAACAGTCCACTACCATCTGGTGCAAGATTAAGCGTTGGATTCGTGAGAAAGCTCCATGTTTATCTCGCGATAGACGGAGATATGGAAGACATGGAATACGGGACAAAGAGGAAGAGGTTGCACTTGCTCCTGTAAAGCCGATTAATGTTGGATGAATGATATCTGTACAGCTTCTCTGCTACTCTATCGACGTTGGGTATCAGATATTTTGATTACGCAGCCAATAATGTCAATTCTGGAGGATACAATCAACCTGCAACATGTGTTTTCTTTTGCATAAGCCATAATACCTGCTCCTTGCTGAATTCATTCCATATGACCTATTGCTTACTATCTACCAACCCGCTCATCATCTACCACAGCCTTGCACCGCCCCATCGAAGATCTTCAGATCAGCGTGTGGCCGATGGCATGCTCTCCAGATGTTCCGACGCAGCCGTGCAGCCAAGAAAGACGCGAATGCTAATACGAAGTGTAGAGCATCAAATTAGTTCCATGCGGTTACTCTTGCAGATCCACGTCAGGCCACGGTCTGTACTACACAATCATCATGACAGATCATTGCAGAGCCTTCTCACTATGGAAAGCACATGACGCAGCTCTATTACGTACTACGCTTACTTTTGCTGTTGCTGCTATGGCATTCATTCATATTGAAAAACCAAGACAAAGAATCACTTGAGAAAATCCCAAAATGATTGTCTATTTAAGTAGCTTTTACATAATACTAGAATTGGGAGATATTGCTCATAACATCAGCCAAGTAAAGTGGAGCAATGTCCTCACAGCCGGGTTCTGACGGATAACGTCGTTATGGAAACAAAGGGAAGAGATCTCCCGAATGGGGCAACATGCTGAAAACCCTTTCTGGACCCTTAATTCGTACTAATGGAATAAGCGAGTATACAATTTTGTGCTTATGCTAGTAATACTCTATGGAGTGTTCACAGTAAGCGAAGGAAAACAGTGCTGCCTGGGTGGATATTGATGGATATCATGTGGGCCGGGGTCTCATGTCCACTTAGTCCAGCTTACCCTGCATAGCCCACGTTTTCATCGGAATAGATGGGATCCACGTTACGTTTTTAGATAATACTATGTTTAATGGAAAGGGAACCTAGAGTTACCCTGTTTGGTATCAGAAAAAGGTTTGGTTGACATGTCCGATTGGCAACCATTCGATGACTGACATCGTCATTTGCGGGCAGTTTGTTGAATATATGAGACCATTGAGCCAAATGAAGAACTCTGAGCTTATGTCTATGAAAGTAGTTCTACACGTGTTCGTATCAAATGTCTGATAGGCACAATTGATTAATGTAATTAGACCCGAGAGCTATAGCTTATAATACACCGCTACTAGCTGAAAAATATCCTTGATATAGCCAATTTTTGTATTTCCAATATCAGTATTTTCTCCGGTCAGAGACCGTATCCGGCGCCCGGTTAAGTATCAAAAGAAGGAATGGTCATGTCTTAAAACTAAAGGGAATAAAAATCAATAAATAGAAAACATAACGGGTCCATTAATCATGTTCGCGTGATGCCGGATGCGATCGCTATGTCTGACGAGCTTAGCAGACCGTGATGTACAGACCGAGACTAGATTTCAATTAGCAATGGTTCATAGAAGATGGTATGAGAATACTTACGGAGAGGGGTTGTAGTCCTCAAAGAAGTTGAGGTAGGTGCTACCAGCCTCCTTCATCTCGTAGCTGACAGTCTGGCCAGCCGGGCAGGAGAACGTGGAGATCAGGTAGGAGTTGCCAGGTGAGACGGTGAAGTCGCCGTAGTCCTGCTTGACCCCAGGAGCGTTGTTGTAGGTCGTCGACTCACTGGCAGCAGACTCGAGCTGGGAGAAGTCAATCTTGCCGTCTCCGCTGAAGGTGTAGTCAGAGGTCTCAAGCTGATCCTTGGTGGGGAACAGGAAGATCAGACTGCAGGTCTTTCCAGAGTCCGAAGACGGGATATCGAAGTTGAAGATGGTCGAGACGGTGGAGGAGACGGTGCCGAAGTACTGAGTACCGTAGGCGGTGTCGGGGGTAGAAGAGTTGATGGGGACGATCAAGTGAGGGTACTCATAGTCGCCAGAGAGATCGGTGGGGCAGCTGGCAGAGGACGACTGGGTAGCCGTGCCAGAAGGCTGAGCGCTGCTGGGAGACGCGGAGGTCTGAGGGTAAGATGGAGTACCAGACGGCTGAGCAGGAGTTCCAGAGGTCTGGGGGTAGGAGGACGGCTGCGGAGCGGGCGATTCAGATGGCTGGGGGGCCGGAGACCCGGATGGCTGAGGAGCAGGAGAGCCAGAGGGCTGAGGAGCGGGAGTCTCAGAAGGCTGGGGGACCGGGGTCTCCGAGGACTGGGGGTACGAAGGAGTTTCCGAAGGCTGAGGAGCAGGGCTTTCGGACGACTGAGGGTAGGATGGAGTCTCGGATGGCTGAGGAGCAGGGGATCCGGACGGGGCCGGCTGGGAACCAGCGGGAGCAGAAGACCCGGGTCCAACGGGAACCAGCGGAACAGTACTCTCCCCAGGAACAGAAACCACAGGAGTAGTCTCAGCACCACAGTAGGTTTCAGTCACATAGACGGTCGTCACTTGCACGGCGCCGCTAGACTGGGGACCAGGACCGTAGGGCACGGAAGCACTGGAGGCAGGACCACCGGGAACCCAACCAGTCGACGCACCAGCGCCAGGGACACCTGGAGCGCTGGAGGAAGGAGCAGGAGCCGGCGTGCTGGACTGAGGCGCGGGGGTCGAAGCCGGAGCAGAGCTAGAACCAACAGAACCAGCACCAGAGCCCGCGCAGGAATCAGCTGTCAACTTGATGTTCTCGCAGCCAGTGACGGAGGAGTTCTCGGTGGTGTAAAGGTTCAGTTCGTTGTTGTCGCCAGTTTGGCAGGCAACAAAATCGGCGTCACCGTTGTACTCCAGCTCACCAGAGGAGGTGATGGAGAAACCCGACATAGGAGATTTACCCAAGTCACACTGGAACTGCGTGGTATCGCCTGTCAATATGTGTGGTTAGTAACATACTCGATATTATGTATATGTGGATAGCTTACTAGTCACGACACAACCGCGTCCGCTGCTATCAGTGATGCCACCATTGGAGTCAATGCAGAACTGGGTGGCGGGCAGTCCACCACCAATGCGGTTCTGACCATCACCCAGCTGGCCAATGGTGCCAGAAGCATCACCAGAAGCTGTCAGGTGAAAGCAGCAAGAGTCGCTCCGGCCAACAAGGGCATTAGCCCCAGCAGCGAAGGCTGCAAGGGTCGCAACGTTCTTCATACTTGCAAAAGCGAAAGTAGACGACAGCTAGAAAGCAAGCGAACGGATTGGAAGGGCGATATAAGAATAAAGATTGTTTTTTGGGAAAGTTATTGGCCGGGGTAAACTAACAAGCAAACTGAAAAGCCCAGGGTACGCTCAATATTTATAAACTATAGTGGGTACATAAAAGGCACGTCATGGGCAATTGCCGGTGATACTGTGTAAACCGGACAGAGTCAACACGCACGCCTCCACAGCACAGCAGTTCGAAAAAATAGAAACAGACATTCAGCCAGTTGCATTGCTTCTGCTGGACTGGAGGTTGACCATGGAATAGAACATGGAGGGCCACCGTTGATCCCGCTAGGCACCACCGGACAGCGAATAAACAAGCTGCAAGTTGTCCGACAACGCCGGGCCTGGAAGCTTCGGGATTGAAGGAGCAATGAAAGCAGACGTCATGAGCATTGGGGCCTTGTGGAGGGGGAAATTCTATGAGAAATACCCGATCTGGAAGTTGGCTATGAGATAGAAGCGGTATCAGTGGCTCGGGCGATGCAGGGCACAAGCCAACTGTGGATCCAGCTCCATCGAGGAGCCTTTGGATCGGCCGGGAACCCTGCCCTGGTCAAGACCTTCCGGACTCATGGACTTAGGCGGGTTATTGCGAGTCCGGTGGCGAGATGGCAATGCCACCCACGGTACAACACGCCATTCAGCCATACATAGCGAGCATTGTTATTATCCATACAAGGAACATGGGTAGGACACCCACGGGCCTGCTTCTATTCATAATCGCCCACAGCGGAAAACCGGGAACGCAAGGTAAGCGACAATGCTCTATGCTCGACATAAGCAATCAGTCTTGAGTGCAAGTATCAAGCACAGTCCGCGTAAGTCCGGAGGGATGTGGAGGGGGAGCTATAGCCACCATCACGGCCTAACAACAGGGAAGGATGAGGATCCTGGGATTAACCGGGGAAGGGTGCCTTGCATTATGCTCAGAAGGGTTTGGACTCGAAGCATACACAACATGCAGTGCGGAGTAGGGGGACGCGGTTGACGTTGACTCTTGCCTTGGACGTGTTGCTCAGCAACTCGGTGAGCAGCTTTTGGATCCCGCTTGGGAAGCAGCACAGCCCGCGTAGCAGCAAAGCAAGTGACTGCATGTCATGATGGAATAATCCTTGGCATGGTGGATTGTTGATGAGTTGATTATTCGATGAAAATAGCCATTAGAATGGAGATGAGGGACTATCATTCTACTCTTTCGGAAGGTCGGAGAAACCCGGCAGAACCCAGTCCACCCGGATCAATATTAATTCCGTGCTCCGCGGGTGGGGGATGACGCCAGCCTCGCTGGACTTCCTCCACCAGCTTCCATGAGGCTTCCAGGATCCATCGTCCTATTCCTTCCCTTGTCTGCCGGCAATACACCATCCGAGCAACTGCGCCACGTCATGGGGAATTCTTACTGGGTCATATGCCTGGCTCGCTGCCTTTCCCTCCCGAGAAAGCAAAGCGGAAAAAGAAACTGAACATGAACCAAAGGCCGGTTCTAGGCAACCCTGAACAATCGCCAATCTGCCTCCATGGGACAAATTGCAGCAGCCATGGTTGCCTAAGTGGTTACCCAAACGATAATGATCATGTATGTAAACAAACGATACACAGATCGATATATTATGAGCCGAGCCGTACATATATAGAAACAAGCAACACAATCCCAGGATTCCGGCCTGACCAGCCTCGTGTCATCGGCGTCCATCTGACAGGTGGGCAACGCAGCCCTGTTGGACGCCAGTGCCCTATAAGCTTCGCCGGCATCTGGATGGCTGCGCGATCGATTTCAATCTATACTCTTTTTGCCTTATTTAATATTAGTCTCCTATATTATTATTTTCCATTTTACATCTCCGGAATACGATCAGAATCTCCGTCGCACTTCTGCAGTGCGTCGTAAGTATGCCCGCCCCATCCTGGCTCCATGCTTATCTCCCCACCTCAGTATTTCTCAATCTCTTGAATATCGAACTCTGGTTCGAACCATATAATCACTCCATCCTGAAACACCATTTCTCAGCCAAAGCAGTCCCATTGGACCTCCAGGATATCCCTATCGCTTTTTCACCCTCGCTCACCTATTCACAATCCTCAAATTTCCAAACTCATCAAAGGCAAAGCCGTTGAAAGAACGGGGCACTCTGCAGACCAATTCCCCGCACTGCACTCTGTAGAAGCTTACGTAGACCCTCACCTTACAACGGTCAATCAAGGTCTAGACAGTTGGCTAGAATCCACCTAAACTCTGATTGCTCTTCGCTCTGTGAAGTGAGTTATGTGCTGGCCCACCATCCATGTGTCCAGGATGGGCAAACAAGAGGATTATCCTTCGACTTGTTCGATTCCAGACCTTTACAGTAGACCAGCAGCACAGTGCTCCGAACAAAGGCTACATCCACAATTCGAATTTTCCACGATTTTCCTCCTGTCTCTTTTACCCTTATTCAAGGATTAATCCGACGGACGGACGGACGGACGGAATAATGCTTATGCAAATGCATTCTGTAAAAAATATCCAGATGACAGACACAGATGGATGCCTGCAGGACTCGTAAAATTCTGATTTCGTCGGACATGCCGGGGTTGGACACCAACAACCCCAACATAGCATAAGTCAAACCAGTTAACAATCAGTTAGTGATTCCCTTGACTAACAATAATGTAATGCGCACGTCCACCAGTGTCTCACTCGATCCAAGTTGGTTGAATTGAACTAGAGCTGTCAGAATCAAGAACAGCACATCATACCCATGTCGATCTTCATTTTAAGTCCAGCTGCCCAGTCTTGACCTCATCAAGTCCCTAAGCAACCGGCGATCGATCAGGCAGCCCAGGTCGACTCTGAATTCAATAGTATTGTTTTTCATTCTGGGCTATCCAGCCACCTAGCCAGGTTGTATCTGACGTAAACAAGAAGTAAATAAATACTTCATTACTAACTAATGGACGTGTTTGAAGGGTGTTGATCATTCAACTCCTTGGGAGCCTGGTGTGGTTTACCCCGATAACTATTGAACTAAAAGCAGCCATCAATGATCTGTTTATGATGTAAACATCATTATGATGCTGTGAAACTCTGCTGCGTCTTTAAGCTTGTGGGGGAAATGGAATGAGGGGAAAGATAGAGCTCTGTTCAGTGTTCACATGTTGAAACTAAGATGGATGGATGTTGGCTGTAAAGTCATATAGATGAACCACCGGTTCACACTTGTGGCTAGCAGTGTCCATGCTTGATGGCTTGGATATTAGGTAGTATCTGGGTATCATTGATAGATGCTTAACTGCGGAGAAGAAGCGCTTATTTATACTCTATCCCATGGAAATTTCACATAATGCAGAAATCTAATCGTTATCCAGGTACATGGTTCAGAATGGATCTAGACTATTACCACAACCACTTTCGAAGAGAGTTTAGAAAGACTCAAGCATATATGTGTGTATTATGTCGAGGGTGAAACGTAACCGTATCTCCATCTTTAACTGGCCGTAAGTACTCAATTGAGCCCAATACACCCAGTAACGAAGCACAGTCAGAGAGCCCTTTTCTTTAGTCTTGGACGTCGAACTTTAAATGACTATACCATGGGGAAGCGGTATAGCCATGCCAAGGTAGAGACTACCTTGCTTTCGGTCCTTTCTACGGAACGATAGGAGACTGAAAATGTCGCAGTATGATGCATCTGTGCATGGATATATATTGGGTATCTGTTTGGGTTTCGTTCTATCTGAGTCCTACCTCATGCGGGCGGCCCTGAATCTGCTCACACGTTTGGGCGCATCCTCAGTCTCAATCGGCACGATTTCCGGCTCCTCGCCTACGAAGCCGCCATTTTGCTGGATCATTCGGTTCCGGATCTTGTAGAACTCTGTTGCAATCTCCTTCTTATGCAGCTGCTCGTCGAGCTCATCGGGCTCTGGTGCTACTGCTGGACCTGCTGGAGTCTCCCGTTCAACGAGTGTGTCAGCAAGAACCTTCCCTTCGGGACCCCTGGGTGTAAGGTCTTCTTTCTCCACGATGTCGGTGATAGGCTGGGAGAAGGGCTTGGGTTCCGCTGGTTTGGCAGGGAACAGAGGTAGAGATGGTCCAGTGGTAGATGCCTCAGACTTGCGTAGAGCCGAGCGAGGTTCGGCAGGTCGAGAAGTGTTGCTAGATTGGGTTGTTGACGCAGTGGCGTCTTCAGTTGCGTTGTGAGTTTTCCGGGCACTCTTGAACCGGGATACTTTCTTCGGGGCGTCATTCTGCACAGGTTGTTTTCCAGCAGGCTCTGTGCGTTCAACAACAGCGTCCTGGAGAACAGGTACGTTTGACTCTCGGACCGGAGCGATCTTCTTCTCCAAGGTCGGAGGCTTGGAAGCCGGAGCGATGTCGAGTTCGTCAGCAAAAGCAACCTTCTTCTTCGGTTTCTTCTCTTTGACTGGCTCGCTACTCGTGTCTGCGTTAGTCTCGACACGAACAACACTGGGCTGATCTAGGTCCTGCTTGATCTCATTTGGAAGCGATTGCGTGTCTTTTCCGGCATTCCACATTCCCCGAGCGTTGAGCTTTTCCTCCAGCTCGCGCATCTGACGGTGATAGTCTTCGCTCAAAACTCGCCTAGTGCTCCTTCCGTATTCGTCTTCCTCTTCATCTTCGTCATCATCATAATCATAAGCATCATAGTCCTCATCAACAGAGATATCACTTGCGTCCTCATCCAATTCAAGCTCCGCCACGACAGACCCGACTTCGTTCAAGCTATATTGGAGCATCTCACGGCGTAATTTAGCATCTTCCGGAGACTCGTCGACTTCCATAACAGGACGCTCGCCATGAACTTCGACGGTCGGGTCTAACGCTGAGCTTGTCTCCTTGGCATCGCTTCCCGAGGATTTGACGGAGTGCTCTTCGCTGGCGGATGTGTCGTCCTTCTTGAGACTATCTGCGGAAGACGCCTCCTCCGTAGTTTGAGTGACTTGCTGAGACGAGCTCGATACTGGCGTATCGGCCTTAGCCACATCGGGTATATCATTGACACCAGCCTTCTTCAAGACCTCCAATAGATCCGTTGCCTCGCTGCCGGGTGTGGTTGTTTTGCTTGAAATAACTTCGCCGTTCTCATCGAGTTCTTCGAAAATCTCAGTCATAGGAAAGTCCGCCGTAGGTTCCACCGGTAGCCGATCTTGCGAGTCGAGCGCATACAGTTGGTCTTCTGCCGCACGTAACCGTTTCTCTATCGTAGACGCGTTCTGCTTCACGTAGTCGATCCGCCTCGTTACCAGATCAACCGCCTGTTGCTTGGTTCGTGTCACGCCTTGTTTCTCTCCCAATATCACTTTGACCTCCGCTTCATTGACCAAGGAGCCACCAAAGTCGCGTCCTACTCGGAGGTAGTCATCCATAGTCGCATCATCGTCCAGCTCGTTTAACTCGTCTTTGAGGCCATCGTATTCGGCCTCCCACGTCCTCCAGTGGTAAAGGGAGTCTTGCAGCTTCGAGATGTTTCCCTCGAGTTCGAGGCGCTGGCGCTCCAACTCATGCAGACTGTTGTTTGGGACACCCATCTCTACAGTATACTGAGTATATCTGGGAGGAACAGCCGTTCAGCAGGTGTGTAAAGGTGTACAGGGAGGGGGGAAGTCCGAATAGAAAGAGAAGGAAGGCGGCGGCAAAGAAAAAGTTCCGCCGCGGAACAAGAGCGGAGAACAGAACATGATTGGTCCGTGCACGCAGCTGGATTATCAACCTTCCATGCCACTGAAGAACCACCGTCAATCGTTCTTTCTACCAACCTGTCGCGTGCCTCGCGTACTGTGCTGTCCAGAGCATCTTTGAGCTGCAGTGATCCTCAGAATGCCTCCTGCTCGTGATATCATGGCTCACCGGGGGGATGACGACGGTGAGTCTATTGCTAATGACACTTGAATATTCACTGACTGCCAGCAGAGGTGTGCCCTGTCTGCAAATCCTCCCGTTACCTGAACCCGGACATGCGATTTCTCATCAATCCCGAATGCTACCACAAGATGTGCGAGTCCTGCGTGGACCGAATCTTCTCCTCAGGCCCCGCGAACTGTCCCGTGGCGGGCTGTCACAAGACCCTGCGCAAGAACCGATTTCGCAAGCAGACATTCGAGGATATTAATGTGGAAAGAGAGGTGGACATTCGGCGCAGAGTAATGCAAATGTATGCCAATATCAAATCTGCTAGACCCTGGAATAAGCCACTAATCTTCCTCTAGTCTTAACCGCCGCGAAGAAGAGTTTGATTCGAAACGAGCCTATGATGACTTCCTCGAACAACGCGAAGAGATAATAGCGAACCTTGTCCATGGCACAGATGTAGCAAAGACAGAAAGCGACCTACAAAGATATGCTGCAGACAACATGCGGTCGATTCGCGCCAATCAAGCCCTCGAAGCGCAAGAGGCCTCATCCTTCCGAGAACAACAAACACACGAACAAGAACTGGCACGTCTTCGGCGAGAGGCAGCTAGACTGGAATATGAGAACGAACGGAAGGAGATGCTTGCCGGCCGGGAAGACGTTCTCAGCCGTCTTGCGGCAGGCCGACCTGGCGACGCAGCGGCTATCGCCCGCGAAGGTCACAAGGTGCTGCTTAAGAAATCTTCTGCTCGCCGCAGTGAAGAAGACCGGATTCGACAGAAGCAGGCTGCTTTGCGCAGCTCAGATGCCAGGAAAGCTGGGCAGGGTGCCCTTACCACGGCGGACAGGGCGGATGACAGTGGTGATTCTGGCTTGATCAAGGGTCTTAAGAAGATTGTGACGCCCGAGCCTGAGAAGCCTTATGATCCTTTTGGTGGCCTTGTTCCCAACAAGAGGGACTACTATACTCTGCGCGACTATTACCCGAACAGCTATCTCGACCCCATTCGCCAGGACACTCGTATGCAGGCTGGTGGATACGACCTTCAGGAATACTACTCGCGTACTTTGATGGAGGCCTTTGCGGGTTTGGGTTGCTTCATCGATGAGGAGGTGTCTAAGCGAGAGGTTACAAGTACGATGGGTATCTCTAGACCCGTCGCTACAGAAGGGGCTGCCTTGGCGGCTGTTTCAAGTGCAGGCGCCCCAGAAGCCAGCTCGTGACCCACGGCTGTTGTTTCTCGTTTCATCCTCTGATAGAGCTTCTGGAATTGGTTTACCATAACATTTGGCTGCGGCGTTTAGGCATTTGTGTTGCATAGCGATGGCGTCTTTTTGACAGATTTTGAGCATTCGGAAAAGCTATGGCACTGAGATTGTTCAATTCGTTCAGGTACAATAGGTATACAAACAGGTAAAGCTAGTACAAACCAAATGAATTGCATGACAACAAATAAAACCGAACTAGAAAAAAAGGAAAAAGTGTAATATACAACCGTCTAAATAAATACATAGGCTCACAACTTGCCGCCAGTGATCTGCTCTCCCAGCTGCTTGACTCTGTCCTGGATGACGTCCCAGCGAGCGGTCTCGCTCTTCCTGGTCTCGTTGACAATACCCTGGACAGTAGGGGGCACGCCCAAGTTCCAGATGTTCTCGCCCTCCTGGTGGTCACTGCGCCAGGCCTCGTTCTCACCCTCGGGGAAGACCCGCTCGATCTCAGCCAAAAGCTGAGCCTCCGTGGTGATGAAGTTCCGAGCATTCATGTAAAGCTCTTGCAGGTTATCTTGACGCTCTGCCTCCTTCACAGCCTGCTGGTATTCGAGGCGGGCCTTGGACTCAGCCAGGCGGGTCTCGCGGTCAGGATCCGGCAGCACGGCGGTATGTTTGGGGAGCATGTCCTGAATGACGGAGTTACGGGTCAACCGCTGGTCTTCTCTCTCAGGCTGGCGGAGGATACGGTCGCGGCGCTTCTGCTTCTCCAAACTCCGCTGCATCATGGTCTTGTCCGTCCGCTGCTTCCGGGTGTGTAGTTCCAGGAGACCTTCGCGGAGGTTCTTGCGTCTCATCTCCGCCATGCGCTTCTTCCACTCAATGTATTCGGTGTTGGGGTCATTGGGGTCCAATTTGGTCTCCTTGGTAGGAAGAGGCGTCGCAGCATTGATGTATGCCTCTGTCGGCTTGTCCTTGCGGCGGGCCGGGAAGAGTTCTCGAGGGACGGGCAGGGTACCCTTGACGCGGGGCTTCGAAGGAAGATCGGGCTGAATCGGTTGAGGGATGTCGACGAAGTTGGGAGACTCGGGGCCGACCCGCAGACAGGAAGATGAGGTGAAGCCGCGGAACTGCACGGTGGCAGCCCTGCAATTGCGGAAGAGAGACATGGTAAACAGTGTCTGTCTGCTCAAGGTGGAGGATTGAGCAGGGTTGATGACTGGTGAAATGAAAGGGAAGTAATTGATAGAGACCAGGTAGCCGGTCTATTTCGGATCGAGGGCCAGCACAGGAGGGTAAGATGGCTGATGGCCAGCGCGGTGCTATTGCGGGAGTCGAACGAGGACGAAGCGATTTTCTTGCGCCTGGTCCGTGCACCGCTTAGCTTGGCGCCCGCCTTTGGAGAAAAAAATAATTTCCCGCGCTTCGAAACTTTTTTCCTTTCTTTCTCTTCCCTCCTTGCGCTCCGCCATTTCTTTTTTTGACACTTTATCTTTGATATATTTTCATATTTTTCTTCTTCGAGGTGCCTTGAGCGCTTACTTGCACAATGGGTACCTTCAAGAAGGAAGCCTCTCGTAAAGAGCGGCAGGGGAAGACTGGAGATGGCATGGGGAACGTCCGGGTAAAGGGTGAAAACTTTTACAGGTTAGTACACCCGTTGCGACAGATGGTCCTGGATATGTGTGCTGACTTGTTCAAGAGATGCGAAGAAGTTGAGGACCTTGAATATGCTCAAGGATGGTAAACCCCAACGTAACGCTGAAGGAAAGATCACCAAGGCTGCTTCGTACCAGTCTCGAGACGCCCCCGTCGCTAGGATTGAACCCAACCGTAAATGGTTTGGTAACACCAGAGTGATCTCGCAAGAGGCTCTGTCCTCTTTCCGTGAGGCGGTCGCTGAGCGTGCTTCTGATCCGTATTCAGTCTTGCTCAAGACCAACAAGCTTCCCATGAGCCTGATCAGAGATGACAAGGGTGTAAATGGATTGAAGCAGCACCAGGCCAAGATGGCCATCGAGACGAACCCCTTCAGTGACACCTTCGGGCCCAAGGCTCAGAGGAAACGTGTCAAGTTGGGTGTCTCGTCGCTTGCGGATCTGGCCGGCGAGTCCGCCAAGATGCACGACGCCTATGTTGAGAAGTCGGACCATGCTACTCATGAAGATGGTACTATGGTGGTGAACGGTGATGACGTCGCAGTAGAGGAGGACTCTAGTGTCGCGCCCATCGCAAAGGAGGCTGTCTTCCTTAAGGGACAGAGTAAGCGTATTTGGAACGAACTTTACAAGGTCATTGATTCCTCCGATGTTGTCATCCATCTCCTTGATGCTCGTGACCCGGAAGGTACACGGTGCAGGAGTATCGAGAAATACATCCGAGAGGAGGCTCCTCACAAGCACTTGATTTTCGTCTTGAACAAGTGTGATCTTGTGCCTACAGGCGTGGCGGTAAGTCTCTATTCGCTTTCTTTTCTCCTTGCAACCACCCCCTCTTCCTTTGATATACAACACGGCTTTTCGCCGATGCCATCGCTAAGTCAAGGCTACTCCTGCGACTTCATGTCGTGTTATTCACTATGGGAGACTGTCTGTTACAGCTTTGGCAGATTGACGCTGGTCCGCGCCGACCTTCTTTCTGAAGCTAGGCTGATTGGTTTTCGTTTTGAAAGCCGATCGTTAAGGACCGAGCTGTGTTCTGTTTTTGAGTTGAGTCCTGCTTCCGCTCTTGAAGTGGCATCATAGCAGGTCTCTTAGTAACATTTCACACATCCTGTCATCATACTTCTGTTTCTTTCTTTTCTTATTTTTTTTCTCTTATTCTTTGACTATGCTATACTTTGATAGCAACGCTGGTGTTCAGCTGCTAACGTGACACCAGGCTGCTTGGGTTCGCCACCTTTCTAAGGATTATCCTACCTTGGCTTTCCATGCTTCTATCAACAATTCCTTCGGGAAAGGCTCGTTGATCCAGCTACTGAGACAATTTTCTTCTTTGCACTCGGACCGGAAGCAGATTTCCGTGGGATTTATTGGATACCCCAACACTGGAAAGTCTTCCGTCATTAACACCTTGCGCAAGAAGAAGGTGTGCACTGTGGCTCCTATCCCGGGTGAAACCAAGGTGTGGCAGTACGTTACCTTGATGAAGAGGATCTATCTCATTGATTGCCCTGGTGTGGTTCCTCCGAACCCGAACGACTCTCCAGAGGATATTCTTCTCCGTGGTGTCGTCCGTGTGGAGAACGTAGAGAACCCTGAGCAGTACATCCCAGCTATTCTCAAGCGTGTTCAGCCTAAGCATTTGGAGCGTACCTACGGTATCAAGAGCACTGAAGACCCCGTCGAGTTCCTCAGTCTCCTTGCCCGCAAGGGCGGTCGACTCCTCCGTGGTGGAGAGCCTGATCTTGACGGTGTTGCCAAGATGGTCATTAACGACTTCCTTCGTGGAAAGATCCCTTGGTTCACTGCCCCCCCTCACAACAGTGGCGAGGAGGGCGAGAAGATTGAAGGTCGTGAAGGTCGCCTCGGCGAAATGAGCCGCAAGCGGAAGCTTGATGAGACCGCTCCTGAGGCTGCTGATACCACAGAAGCGGCTGAGAAGCAAGAGTCTGGCTCGGGAGATGAGTTCGAGGGCTTTGACGAGGAAGATGATGATGACGACTCGATCGCCAATCTTGAGGTCAGCGACGAGGAGAGCGGAGCGGAGGAAGATTAAACAGGAGCTCTATTCTGAACAATTTTCAACACCTCGCGGATCGCAGATCCGCCCGTCACTAACCCATTGACCTTGGGCCCATGTCGTCGCTCTTTCAACCGGAGCGGAACCGACAGTCACGCCATGCCCAACCGATCATCGGGCCCCTGACAAAAAGCTGCATGGCCCACTGGCATCCTTTTGACGATGCCGATCGATCGGAGGTCGGAACGCCACCGAGCATATCCAGTTAAGGCCTGGTTTCACACGGCCTTGCTGACATGCTACCTGGACAGCTTGCCTGCCAGTACATGTCAACCCATGCAGAAAAGACTGGGATCCGAGCCAGCTATTGCTCGGCCCCACTGCTTTTACTTTTAGATACCCGCATAGTGCTGAGAAGCATAGCATCAAATGAAGAGAGAGATCGTCCGATCATCCATGTTCATGCATTTATAGTAATCTGCGTATAATGTAGTTGGATATACGAGTAAAAAGCATTTTTGGACGCGACGCGGCGACTTTCCAGCTTCACCGCCAGGCCCGCTCACGTGCACCCAGCCTCACTCTCGTCATCCGGTCTCCGCAGCAGCGGCCAGAACATGCCAGCAACTGCTTAAGATCGGCCCCTTTTTCATGGCTTTGCGGCCTTGTACTTCTCTGCGTCCTTCAAGCATGGGCCGCTCTGCCTGCTACAATGGCGGACGAAGGCATGTCCATTGTGCCCTACGGGTCAGGCAATCTTGATGTCGTACTGTAAGCTTCCGCTCTAAGCTTCCCCTCACCCCGAGCCTGGCTTCCCCACCAGATACTTGACCCTTATTAAAATAGTCCTAACATTGCTTCTTGACAAGCCGCCATAATGACTCTGTCGTTGTTTTTGACCGAGACTCTCAGCAACTTGTTCTTCGACATGCAGCCGAAAGCGATGACGGCAACCTGGAGCTTGCCGACTGCCCGTATTGCCATCGACCCCTACGCGATAGCAGCTCAGCCCAGGACGACCACCATGGCGGAACGCAGCCGGAATTCATTAATCCGCACTATTTCCGCATGCTCCATAATAGCTTGCCCAGTTCTGTGAGCTCATCTAGCCCTCCGTCACCCCGTCGACGTCTTGTGCCACCCGCACTTGCAGACGGTCCTACCAGCGAGCCCAGCTACTCGGGTAGCGGCATACAGTCTACGCAAGGAATATCTTCCGCCGCTTTTACACAGGACTACTTTAAGAAGTTTTTCGTGGAAGAAACAGTTCTAGGGAAGGGAGGGAAAGGAGTGGTTTTGCTGGTAAAGCACGTACTGGACGGTGTATCGCTCGGACAGTATGCCTGCAAGCGGGTTCCCGTTGGAGACGATCATGAGTGGCTAGAGAAAGTGCTCGCGGAGGTGCAATTGCTGCAGCATCTTACACACCAGAACCTAGTTTCGTATCGACACGTGTGGCTCGAGAACGCGAAGATTAGTACGTTCGGGCCAAGTGTGCCTTGTGCATTTATCCTCCAGCAGTATTGTAACGCTGGGGATTTACACAACTATATCTGTGGTTCGGTTGAAACTCCGACAACCACTGAGCAGCTGAAGGAGCGTCTGCGCAGAAAGTCCCGGGGAGGGCCGGAGCCTCCGTCTGAAGCTGGGGGACCTCGCAAGTTGAACTTCGAGGAGATTTATTCCTTCTTCAAGGACATAACCTCGGGGTTGCGTTATCTCCATGCTAATGGATACATTCATCGTGACCTGAAGCCAAACAATTGTTTGCTTCACAAGACCAGTGACGGAATTCGAGTGCTCGTAAGCGACTTTGGCGAGGTTCAGGCTCAGGACTCGATGCGAAGGTCTACTGGGGCGACCGGGACGGTTTCGTTTTGCGCCCCGGAAGTTCTACGGCGAGAGTATCCAGGCGGTCCATTTGGGAACTTCACCTTCAAGTCTGATATTTTCTCTTTGGGAATGATCCTCTACTTCCTCTGTTTTGCGCAGTTGCCCTACACGCACGCTGACCTGATCCACGAGGAGAAAGAGGATCTCGATCAGCTCCGTGAGGAAATCAGCCATTGGGCTGGGTTTGACGATGCGCAATTCATCAGGCCGGATTTGCCTGGACAGCTCTACACATTCTTGAAACGTCTACTGTCCTTGGACCCTGACGGGCGGCCGTCTGCAGATGAAGTTCTGAGCGGGCTACAGGCTGGTGCCAACGTTAATGAGAGTTTTCGATCAAGAAGGACTAGCCCAACAAGCCCTGACATACGTCCAAGCGCAAGGATCCATCCGGTGGAAAGCACCGAGACTCCATCCTTCCGGCCCTCCACGTCTCCGAACAAGTCTCTGACACGGAGTCCGGTGGCTGTACGGCGAACTCCGCTTTATGAGCCCGATGGTGCTGAGACTGGATTGAGCCCGGTTGTAGAAGAAACAAGCCCATTATCAGAGCGAAACACCTCGCTCAGCCCGGAACGCGACATGATGGTACGGCCTTGGTTCTCCGGCGCACAATCCCACTCTCCCCCACAGGCCGAACATCGCGAGGTTCCCCAGGAGCAACCACAGCCTGTCCAACAATTACTACCCCCGCCTCCGGGTCGTTTCTCTCTGGCCAGAGTCTTCCCGAGCGCCGCATCACTCATAGACTCGCAGATACCTGTAACGGCGTTGCAACTGGCGGCGTTCCTGCTCAAGGTCGTCTCCATCTTCCAGCCCTGCAGTCCTCTGGCAGTCAACCCCTGGGTTGTATATCCTTTACTTCTGCTGGCTGCGGTCAATTTCCCAGCCACTGGACTATGGACCCAGATTGTTTCTCTTCTCCTGCACCTTTTGGTTGTCAGTTTGTCTATGCGGATGGAAGCACTGTGCTGGCGGGCATCACATAGTGCGATATTGTTTTCTCGATAGCTACGCCACATTGCGGCGTACCGGCGTTGTGTGTGGTCAAAAGTGAGCAAAAAGCCTGTACTTACTAATGTATCGGGCCTGACGATGTATGTATAATGAATGATGAAACGCCGTTTTCTTTTGGATTCTTACCTGGCTTTTCGACATCCTGTAGTCTATGTATCTAACAAGTTTCAACACAACAGTAGAATTGGTGGGTAAATTGGCCAAGATTGCGAAGGATCGGACTAAATGGCTTACCTGCATTAAGCTCGCATCAGCCCGGGCTCCAATCACCTCATCGACTTCTCGGTCCTGATTGGCACAATTTTGGCTCTACAGGATGCTCCATCATTTACTATCCTAATAGCTTCTGCCTGGTTGTTTCTTATCTCCCTCTTATAATCGGGCCTCCCCGCTGCCAATTTCCCTCATGCTTTCTAGCTTCGGTTCCCTCGGACTCTTTGCCTACTGCCCGGCATGGCAATGAACCCAGAGGCCATCGAGCTTTCGGAAGCTCCACAGCCTGGGGCGAATTCCATGAAGCTTCAGCAGGCTCTAGTGAACGGAGTCAGCGGCACTAGCATCCTGCAGAGCCATGAAGCTAAGCCTGAAGCTGAGTCCGAGCCCGATGAGACCCTCTATCCCCATGGGATGCAATTCGTCCTCATCTCCATGTCCCTTTGTTTCTGTGTCTTCCTGGTTGGTCTAGTAAGTGCTACTATTTGCTGATTTCCCTATACGCTGGCTAAACATGTCAGGATGCCACGATTTTGACCACTGCCGTCCCGCGAATAACCGATGAGTTCGGATCGGTGGCTGACGTTGGTTGGTATGATGCTGCTTTGTGAGTCTATCCTACCGATCAGTATCAGCCCAGTACACACCTGCTAACAGCATCCAAGCCGACTCACTTCCTGCATGTCTCAGCTCTCCCAGGGAAAGCTGTATGACAACTACCCGGTCAAATGGGTCTTTCTCGTTAACCTCCTGCTGTTCGAGGGCGGCATCCTTCTCTCAGGATTGGCGCCGAGTTCAATGATCTTCATCATTGGAAGAGCCATAACCGGCGTAGGATTTTCGGGGATCAGTCAAGGGTGCATGGTGTAAGCATTACATCGCCTGAGGGCGTATCGCAAACTAACAGTCATCCAGCATCATTGCAATTTCCACGCCGCTACGAAGGCGACCGACCTTCGTCGGCCTAATCAGCGCCAGCGAATACACTGCCATCGCGATAGCCCCTATTCTGGGAGGTATACTCACATCTGACCTATCCTGGAGATGGTGTTTCTACATCAACGTGCCTGCAGCAGCCCTACCATCCGCCGTGCTTCTCCTTCTCAAGCTTCCCAACATTACCCCCAGGGGCTCGAAAACACACATTCAGAAACTCCGCGAGCTGGACCTACTCGGATTCTTCCTCTTCGCACCCGCAGTGCTATGCCTCCTCCTCGCGCTCCAATGGGGCGGTGATACCTACAGCTGGACCAACGGACGGATCATCTCCCTTCTCGTCCTCTCGCCCATCATCTTCACGGGCTTCTGTCTCCTCCAGCACCGCAAACAAGATGCCGCCATGCTCCCACCCCGCGTCCTCCGTAAACGCATCATAATCACCGGCGCGGCCTTCAGCCTGTGTCTCTCGGCCTGCCGCGCCATCGTCCAGTACTACGTACACTCCCCACCTTCATCCTTACCCTCTAACACAAACTAACCCAGCAACAGCTCTCAATCTGGTTCCAAACTGTCCGCAACGCCACCCCCCTCCAAAGCGGCCTCAACACCCTCCCTCTGGTCATCTCCGTCCTCATCAGCGCCATCACCGGCGGCTGGCTTATCTCCCGCACACGCACCTACACTCCAATTCTCCTTCCCGCCTCCCTCCTCGTCATCGCCGGCATCGCTCTCATGACAACCTTCACCCCCACCACGCCCGCCAAGCTCTGGATCCCATCACTTATCCTCCTAGGCCTCGGATCCGGCAGCGCCGTCGGCGTACCCTTCATCGCCGTGCAGGCCATTCTCCCCATGAAGGACATTTCCATAGGCATGGCACTGATGACTTTCTCGCAGGACATCGGAGAAGCAGTGTTCATCAGTGTGGCGCAGGCGATATTCTTGAACCGGTTGACGGGGGATCTAGCAAAGAGTGTACCCGGATTGGATCCGATGATGGTGACGCATTTGGGTGCAACGAGCTTGGAGGGTAAGTTGCCCGGGAAGTACTTGGAGGCGGTGGTGGGGGCGTATGATGTTGCGGTGAGGGGGACGTTCTTGCTGGCGGTTGCATTGGCGGGGAGTGTGTTTGTGGCGGCGGTTTTGGTAAAGAGGAATCCGTTCAAGGTTGGCAATGAGTTGGGGGAGGGAGATAGAGAAGAAAGAAGTAGGGGGGTGTAATAGTATGGCTGGCTTCGATGTACAGGAATTGTAATAGTGTCTGCTGCGGCTGCGCAATTGGGGAAAGATTATACCGACATAGATGGTCTGATCAAGTAGCATAATGCAACAATCATAATAGAAAAAGAGAATCCAAACTCCATGCCGATACTACTTACTACCTAACTCATTTACCTGGAGCTATCATGTAGTGATCCATA